TTTTTTTTTTTTTTTTTTTTTTGGTGATTTTTTAATTGTGGCAAAATCTGTATAACATAAAATTTCTCCATTTTAACTATTTTTTTCTTAATTTTTTTTTGCCAGCTGGCCGGTATGGGGATCCTAACCCTTGACCTTGGTGTTATAACACCGTGCTCTAACTAACTGAGCTCATTTTTTTAAAGTTTATTTTTATTGAAGCATAATTGATTATGCATATTTTGGGGGTACAGCATTGACTACCATCACCTGTGTATAATGTATGTTGATCAAATCAATATTATTAGCATATTCATTATTACAAATTGTCCTTTTTTTTTTTTTTTTTTTTTTTTAAAGATGACCAGTAAGGGGATATTAACCCTTGACTTGGTGTTGTCAGCACCACGCTCTCCCAAGTGAGCTAACCGGCCATCCCTATATAGGGATCCGAACCTGTGGCCTTGGTGTTATCAGCACCACACTCTCCCAAGTGAGCCATGGGCCGGCCCTTGTACATTCTTTATGCCCCTGATCCAATCTCTCCCCATCCTCCTCTCTAATAACCTCTAATAACCATAGATTTGTTCTCTCCTTCTGAAAGATTAATGGTTTCTGTTTCTCTTGATTTGTTGCCTAGATGATCTATCCAGTGCTGAGAGAGGGATGCTCAGGTTCCACATTATTATTGTAGAGCAGATGCTTCTTCTATTACTTTGGAGTGGGCTTTGTGGAGAGAGACATTCTCTTCTTTTTTTTTGGTCTCTGCTGGTGACTCTCCTTGTGTCAGTGCAGTTGAGTGTCTGGTGGGCCACCTGCATGGTGGCTGCTGTAGCTACTGCTGTGGCATCTAGCTGCTTTTGTGGCAGCCGTATCTATTGCAGCAGCTGTGGTGGGCCACCTGCATGGAAGTGTGTTTTTGGAGTGCTCCTTGTCTGGTTGCAGGCAGGGGTGGCGGTCCTCAGCTCCTGCCTTGGGATCCCCTACCGGCCCCATGGCGACAGTGTACCTGGTTGCGGGCAGAGGGGGCAGCCTCCAGCTCCATCAACCAAGCTCATTTTAACTATTTTTGAAGTGTACAATTCAGTGGCATTAAGTACACTCAC